GGGAAGGGATGTCACCATCACCCAGTTAGGACCGCCAAGTCCTGCCACAAAGCGCTCCCCATGTGGCCGCTCTGCATCCAAAAATAGGGAAATTACTCCACCACCAGCCAGAACACGTGTACTTATATAATTTGATTTCATGTATATAAATGAATTAATATCGCGCTTGTACTTGTAGCCGTTGATATAGGCTCTTTGGTCTTGAAGATATCATCATTCCCTTAAAAATGTCTGTTGCGGCAAAAAGGCAAGCAAATATACAACTCTCTTCCCTTTCCACTTGGAAGTCACTTCGCGTTTGCACAACTCAGCACACGACCAACAAGGTCAAACAACTGGGCGCCGGCGCCATTCAACGACATGCACGGCGGCAAAGCCCTGGCGAACAGGTACTCAGAGCCCTGATCACTCGGGTACTCAGAGTCACCCTACTACGTCTTCGTTGGGCTTCACAAACACGACGAGGGACCGAAACGCGATCCGAAGACGGTGGGGGGCTTGGCCCGAGGATCCGCCAGCGATGCCATCGGTCGGGTTTTTCGAGGCTCCCAGAGACTCCATGCCGCGACCTATGGGGGCCCATCAGTTGTTGTGGTGGAATTTCCGGGGTCCATTAGTTGGGTATCATATGCCAGTCCATGCCAGTCCCATGGGTCATGTTTGGGCATTCTTGTGCTAATGAGGTGTGAATACAAAACAGGACGTGACCATTTTCGAGTGCCGTGGTATGAGAATTGTATGAGGGCATAGAACATCAACATGGGGTTATACATGGTGATACTCTTGGGAAAATCCGGGCGCCGGCCACGCGCCCGTGGCATGCCCGGAGGGCCTTCGGTGGTAACCGAAGGTTATTTAAGGGCTTACGCCCGACAGCCGGCCAGGGGCGTTGAGGTAGGGGGCTGGAGGGTGGAAGATTGGGTGCGGGTGCAGGCTGAGGGATTGGGCGGGCTTGGGGCTATGTTGCGCACAGCTTGGGTCTACTTAGGCCATCTGGAGCCTTTGTTGCGCGGTCTTGGGGCTATGGGGCCATCTTGGGCCCATGTTGGCTCAGCTTGACCATGTTGGCCTAGCTTGGGCCCATGTTAGCACAGCATCCGCCCACGATGCAAACGAAGCACTCCGGTGCGGCAAGCATTTCCAGCATTATTTGGGCCTATGTTGGGCTACGTTGGCCCATCGTGAGCAACAAGCGCGAAAAAAAAAACGTCAAAAACACTGGGTTTTCTGGGTCCCACGGCTGGGGGCGCATTTGCTTTCTGCTATCCCCCTGCCGCCGACCCTCGGGCCCAAAACGGGGGACCTCCGGGTCACTGAAGTCGCTGTAATTTACGGTGCTTCGTGTGTGTGAAGTATAAAAAACACTGTGCTTTACAGTGCGCATATCGAAGCGCGACGCGGCGAAGATGGAAAAATGCAAAAGCGCTGTGTTTTTCAAGGGTGGTGTCGGTAATGCGCGCCGGGCGGACAGGCTTAATCGACATTTTGTGGGTAGAGGCCCTCCAAACTGCTTAAATTGCCTCACATATCCTAGGCCCAAGATAGCCAACATATCCCCAACATATGCCCAACATAGCCTCCAAGATGGCTCAACATAGGGCCAACATAGGCCAACATGGGGCCAACATAGGCCCAACCTAGGCCAACATAGGCCTAACATAGGCCAAACATAGGCTCAACATAGGCTCAACATGGGCCCAAGATGTGCCCAACATAGACCACATGGGCCCAAGATGTGCCCAACATAGGAGCAGTTTCCCACCTTGGCCCACCCAGGGCCCAGTACGCCCCCGATAGCTGCACGTGCACCCGACCCAGCCCTACACAGACCCTAGTGGGCCGGCGCCCGGCTGTTAGGCGTAAGCCGAGAAGGAATCAAAGCGATACCTGCTTTAAACATATATCATCGATGCTGGACCAGTCCGTCCTTTGGGAAATGCAACCGACATGCTTCAGCTGAAGCATGTGCATGCGTTGCTAGGACCCATCAAGACGAACACCGCAACAGTTGAAAACCTTGATAATATCTCCCTAGCTCCCTTACCACATCCTTGGAAGGTGGTTGGGGGTGGGCATGGGGGTCTAACTACAAAAGGTACTTACTTGGAGGTGTAGGGTTCAAACGGCTGTGAGCTGGGTGAAGCGCCGAGGCCGTGTTCAACAGCCGAACATCGTCTTGTAGAGCCATGCTGGCTCCATGCTGGCACACGGTGATGTTTGGAACATCACAAGATGATGAGCTTCACAGGGTTCAGAATGGGCTCCAAAAACTGCCTTCTCACATCGTCTTGGAGCTCTCGTGGTTGCTTCATCATATACAGCCTTACATCGATCATTATCGCGTGTCAGTTTTGGGTTGCTTCTGGGCCTTCCTGGACGCCTTTCCCGTTTTCCAACAAGGTCAACAGGCACAGGCTGACCCGGCCCGCCGGAAGGATCCTGGCGCCGAGGCAGGTCGACCCGCGGTTTCCATTGGTCATGGCACCAGGGGCGACCGGTTTTTCCCATTCCAAATGAACCGAAGAGACTACCTGGGAGGTCAACAGGTCAACCTACCCTCGTGACCGGGGGCTCCGGGTGCAACCCACAGCCATTTCATCTTCCCATCTTCCCGCTGGATCATCATTCGGCCGGGCTTTGTGCTATACATTGCTATAGTCTCAGACTCTAGCCTACAAAGTCGTCAGCTTTATTGAGGGCCTGACGAAACACATCGACATCGGGAGGCCAGCCCAGTCACCTGAAAAAAAAAATAAAGGAGGGAACGAAGGACACACAGAAAGAAAAAGTGAAGAAACACACAGGAAAAGGAATGAACAAAGCAAGGCAAGGCTCAAGGTCCAACGAAAAGCAATGCCAAGTGTACAGGAAAGGAACAATGGATGCTTGTGGAGGCAACGATCGTTCAACCCCCAAAGGCATGTTCGACAACTGTGTGTCATTGGGCTCCTTTGCATGTTTGGCGCAGGCATCCCGAAGGCATGGCACAATCTGAATTGGGTCCAAATAGATCAATCCTGGTTGAGCGTCTGCTGCATGTTTGGGTGAGCCAAACACGGCCAGGGGATAATGTTTGAGATTGTAGTCCATGGTCTTCACGGTTATTAGTACTTAGCAGTTGGTTTTCAAAAACCAAGAAGAGCCTGCTTTTGGTTGCAGTCTTGCAGGGTTTATCTGGATTGTTAGGAAAGTCCTGGAGACGACTTTCATGTTGATGCCCTTCTGATTCTGAGGCTTCTGGATGAGATATAACTAAACAAACCGCAGGAGTACAAGAGAAAAACGACTGTATGTCTGCATAGAGGCTGCATGATTGAAACATACATTGTTCTTTTAGCCTTATCTTGCTTAGACATTCCATGGCAAGAAACTCTTCTTGATCTTGGCACAGCCACGGACAGCCATGACTCAGTCGCATGAAGATGAACGCGCCATGGTTTCTTGATGTTTGAACCGCCGCATTCTTCGCCAATATTTGGCCTTCTCTCCAGCATGTCAGCAAAAAAAAGGATCCGCAAAACGTTGGTTCAGAAAGGATCAAAGAGTGATACTGTGAGTCTGTCACAGATCGCAGCAGAACACCCGTTTTATCTCAATCCATTACTGGTTCAGTTGCTGAAGCGGCTCTCAGGCCTTTTTCATCCCATCTGCCTCAGAGTGCTAAGTGCATGGACATGCTGCAGAATGATCTATGCTGCTCACGCTCACAGGCGTTCCAGAAGGCGAATCAACTTCTTGAACTCAAAGAATTGGCGTTCCCGTCCCAAAGGTGATTGATGTTCAGGTAGTGCCATCGGCCCAATCCACCCCATATGGGTATGTAACCCATGTACTTCGCTTTCAGTGCTTCTTGGGCTGTATCTTCTTGCTTGCTTCCAAACCCAGTTGTGAGTCATGTATAAATATGATTAAATAATATGTATAAATGATTCCATCACTTTCAAACCTGCAGCCCACCTCGAGTCGTGGTTTCTTGTTCGTTGGCTTCAGCAAGCGACGCACCACAGGGCTCGTGTAACCTCAGCAAACAAACAGTTTGCCAAACAGTTTGGCCTTTCATCGATAACACCGCACGACTCAAGCAAACGGCCACCAACTGCTTTGGTCACCCAAACTTGGTTGTATGTCATGAAACGTGGAACATTACACTCCGACTCATGAACATGGAAGTGCAAAATGGCCTGGTCTTCCGGCTCATTTTCCACTTGCATGTGAGTGAGTGACTATGAACTCCTCTTTGGGTCAATCACTTGGTCATGACAGCTCTGAAGGACAGAACGAGACAGCGCAGGAGAAAGTGTCCGGGCGCCCCACAGTGCCCCACAGCGCACATCTCTTTGTGTCCAAGTTATGGATAGAACATGATAGGAAGGGAAGGATACAGTTGAGAATAGGGAATGATAGTTATGGATAGGGATAGGATAGGAAGGCTTCAAGTTAAGGGCGGATCTATCTTTTTAAGGGATGCAGTAGGGAGTTGTCACAGTGGACATATCCAGCTTTAAGACCACTCAAGTGGTTCGATCTCCACACCACAACTCGTTGGTTCCATCATGGCCTGGTGGGGACAGGTCAAAAGCTGGTTGGAGCACAAAAGCTCTGCCTTAGAGTGGTCCGCAGATAGATAGAAACGCTTTCCAAGACATTCTTAGTGGGGATCTATATACTTTTCTATTTATTTGGTGGTCTCTATGTATAAAGTTAAACCTTTCATGAAATGCAGATGCACCTTTTCTGATATGCCCCATTTTTGACAAACAAGTTATATACTCTCATGTCGTTGCTTGATTGAAGATCCAGGCCACCCCTACTCTTCAGAGAAGCTCATTCATGTATGATATCTGAAGTGTCTTGTGAAACTCAACCCAGACTTGGACTTCCACATATCTGAAGTGTCATAGTGTCATATATCCTCTGAGTATATCTGAAGTGTCCATGGACACTTTCCTCTTCCTTCAGACTTGGACTTCTGAAGGGTCATGTTGTAGGCTCTTAGACGTTCAGCTGGCCCAGCTCGCGCCTGAGGGTGTCCAGGTGATAGGGAAGAACTGCTCAGAAACCTCTTCAGAGTCTTCACTGAGCATGTAGCGCCCATAGATGTAGTCCTCAGCGTTCATGATGTTGTTCTACAGGAGATTTCACAGAAAAAACATATGCGTTCCCCTGCTTCAGCAAAGCTTCCCCAAACTTTATCAAGCATTTGATTGATTTTCTAACATTCTGTCCATCGGACACCCCTGGTCCTCCGAAAGAAGCGACCCGCACCCAATGGCAGACGATGAGATGAGAAATGGTGATAACATTTCGTTTTGAACACATTTACGAGGGATATGTTCAATTCCAGGGAGGCAGCAACTGTTCAAAGTGTCAGCAACTGCTGCTGTAGTTCTACGTATACCAGGCCTCCCTTGTCAAGAGTTGACGTAGAAGAAAGCAATAAGATCAAACATGAAGTAGGGGGACAACAACCTTGCCAGTTCAAAGCGTGGTGCCAGAAATGAATCCAATCCCGAAACAGGCAAGTAGCTCTAACTACGGTCTCAAATGTACTTGACGAAGTCCAAGCACTCGATTGCTGAAACAGGTTTGCAACATGAGAAGAACCCGCCTTGCTGAATAATTATGTCAAACTGCTGCCACATCTTATTTATATTATACATGTTGATCTTTCATTATGGATCATAAGAGTCATAATCATCCGCAAATGACCCACCGCATTCAGGAGATTTGGTTGGTCAGGAAAGAGAAACCACAGGGATGAAGGACTTTCATGCTCAGGCTGTGCAGGTCTGCTTGTCCCCCAGAAATCACAACATGGCACCCTTCGAGCTGCTGCTGGGCCACGGGCCGCGGCTCTCGGCGCCAAACCAGGTCACCTGATGGTCCGCTGAGGCGTGCGACAGGTGACCGCGCGGGTGTGGTTGGATCCACCCCCCCACAAGGAAAACATCTGGAGACCGCTGTGAACAAATACGGTGGCTGAATGGTACACTCTCCCACTCGCACGGTCTGTGGTAGACTCTTTGTACCGCTGTGTGCAAAAAAAATATTCTACTTAGTATATACACTCTTTGATGCACTCCAGGCAGGCTGAGGAGAATGGTTGTTTTGTTGTAGAGCACCAACACATCAAAACACCACAAAACACATGATCACTGCTCAACTGGCGGGGAAACAATTCTTCTGTCCTGTCAAAGTAACAACAAACATGGCTGTAGCACGACATTAGAACAATGGAGAGGTGTATTTAACTGTATTTACTTCTTTCATAACCTTGGAAAATACACAAACAAATTACGATATCCTGTGCCGTATTTTTTACAGAGAGAAGTAACCTATGCTCTTCTTCAGCTTCGAAATCTGGATCTCCTCGGTCTCCCGGCGCTTCAGCAAATGAACGCCCAGCGCTCGGCGCGGGCGGTGCGACGAGCGGTTGCGGCCGGAGCCGTGCCACACGTCCTCCGGTGAGACTGGTGCTCGGAATGGTGGTTGGGTTTGGTTGGGTGTGGTCTCCCTTTGTTGGGACGGTGGTTGTATTTTTGCACAACAAAGGGAGACCATTTCTGGAAGCTTAGAAATGCAATATAGTCTTTTGTCGGTTATGTATTCTTGTTACTTCTTCTTCAATATAATATAATATAATATAATATATAAACAACGCAACCCATTGGGCCAATATGGCGGTTGATGGTGGTTGTGTATTTTAATGGAACAACAAAGGGATACATATATATATATATATATATTGGTCCTTTCTGGGTTTTGGATGGTAGACTGGTGTACTGGTCTATTCACCGACCCAAACCCAGGGGGGTTCAGTCTCCCTATTTACACCCCCAGATGTGGTGGAGTCTAGGGGCGCAACTTGAAGGAGAGACCGCTTGTGTGATGTTGTTTCTACGGGATCCTTTCGCATATCTCATTTTTGCAAACCACACCTTATAACTTATAAGGTTTGGCGTTACCATCTTACCGTAGCCCAACTCCCCGTCTTTCTTCTGTCACTCCCGTCCACTGCTCAACACGAAAACCCCGCCGTGCCCTGCCTGGTGATGAAACACGGCGCCCCCCAGCGGCACTGTTAAGCGCCGGATCTCCGGAGGACCAACGCCAGCGCGCTCGGCGGCGTGGCGCAGGGGTGCCCACCTGAGTGGTGATTTATTTGGTGCGATCTTTTGGAATGAGAAAGCGTACATCTCAGGAATTGATCCAAAAGATCGCACAAAGGTGTGACACTTTTGGACATCTCTTTTATAGTTATATATGTTCAAGGCGTGACTTCATCTTGTCGTCCTTGGTGTTCATCCTTGTTCTCTTGCACCGGAGAGTGAAGTGTTGGCTTCATAATGGGTAATTGGTGGATCAGTACGCTTCAGCACCTGACAATCCCCATCATCTCTGACATCGCCCACTTAAAGGTCTAGAGTCTGCGGGGGATGAAGCTGATAGGCCACATTCTCCTAACTATCCAGATTCAAGAGAAGCATCGGTAGCTCACCGTAGTCTCAATCCGCGGGAAAGATTTGTTTGCGTTGCGGCTTTTGGATGGTCACGGTTCGAGAGCATGCTGCCATGCTTGTTATTGAACGGATTAGTCTGTAATCTGTTAGGAGCACAGGTATGTCTCAACAAATATGCTGACAGGAACTAGTTGACCACTGTTGTCCGGGAGTCGTGTTTTTCAAATTACCTCTGACGTCCTCTGACGGACTATTCAATTCATTTGACACCAAGGTTTCTGATGGTTGATCAGCTGGGAAATGAAAGGTGACATTGCCAGTTTGGAATATAATTGTACTTGAAGGTCTGCATCTTGGCCAATTGATAGGGGATGAGATGAGACAGGTTGGCACCGGGTTCCCAAGACGTTTTGGAGCGAGATCTAAGGTTGGGAGAAACTAGAATTGAGTGGGTTTCATAATTCCACATCATTGAAGCCCATCACACTCCTGATGCTGTACAAACCTGGGTGAGGTTCAGTGGCTGGAGACTAAAGAATTCTAGCCCCCTAATTGAAGAATGACACGACCAAATCCAAACAACAACAAATCACAACACAAAACGTCTCACCGGTTCGTCCGCGCAAAAGAACCTCCGACCAACCTGTTGCTTCGCAGCCCCCTGCTAGCTTGCAATACAATGATGGTGGGCAACCTATGGAACCTTGAGGAACTCAGTGAATTTGCTCTGCGATGGAATCAGAGATGGAAAATGTCAGGAGAGAGCCTCTACAACGACTAGGGGTACAAACGGGGTCATCTACGCACAAACAGCATCGCATGGCCGCATGGCCTTTGCACTCTTGAAGGATGTGTCCTTCATGTCTGGTGATGAAGCATCTATGATGCCAAGGTGAGATGCTTCAGGCCTCACAAGGAAGGTTAACTAAAGGGCCTTTGAACTGCATGCACAGCCATCGAATCTTTGGATTGACTTTGCGTTTCTGGTTTTAATATGTTTTAATCAAAGTGGGAGAACGGCACCACCTTCTCTCAGCGATTGGCGAATGTTCTGTCGCAGGCGCATGCACTTGGTGACCAAGTTCTGCAACTTGTGCTCTTCTCGAAGACCTTCGAGCTTCACCTGCAACAACTCACGCTCTTGGGAGGAGGCTCTATTCCAGGATTGTCCGAGCCTTCTAATTTCCTTCGCACGCTTGATGCCTTCGTCGTCAAGACGCTTGTACTTATTTTGGAGGCCATTCAATGCAAGCATGTCTTCACGAACTTGTTTGTGATTATCCGCCATGAGGGAAAGAGCTAAAGCCGCCTGTTTCTGCTTGAGGTCAATTCCAGCATCCAGGAGGCGCTGCAGCGTCAGTTTGCAAGTTGCAAGGTCCGTGCACACGAGTCTGCAAGGACCTTCACTCTGGGACAAAAGTGTCCACCTTTTCAACCCATGCTTGTGCAGGAAGGAATGCAATTCCTTCAGAACAAATGGATTATTTTGGGCCACAGCAAGGTGAAGCCCGATGTAAGTTCCAGGAACAGTAATCGAGCCCTCGGCATCAAAGAAACCAGCAAAGTAGGGCCAGGAGCACTCAAAGTTTGCAGGCACATGTAGTCTCTGGCCCACCTATATATTTTAAAGAGATTATTATTATGATGCGATATTTTATAAATAATTCCCTTTTCTTTAATTTAAAATATCGCATCCCAAAGATATAAAGTATAAATTACTAACCCATCATATTTTGCTAATAAAAGATAATGAAAAATAGAGCATGATTCTTCTGCTTCAACAGTTTTAACTTCTGTGCCACGTCACTCCTGTCTGGCTTTGCAATGTTGCCAGTTGCTGCTATCTGGAGTTGGGCCAACTGCATGGAAGAAACTTTGCACAGCGCACACACTGCGTGTTGCATGGTTGTGCCTGAAACTGTCCATTGCAGCACTGCTTTGTGTGCTCCTGTTTGGCACTTCTCGCGATAGATGCCACCACCGAAACTGTCACGGAAGCGTATCAACACCGCTGCAGAGTCCATAGTCTGACTAATATGCAGGACCATCTGTCCACTGCCTTTTGTCATGGTAACGCCCCATCTCCGTCAAAGAAACCATTAAAATACTCGATGTCTTCTTGCCTAGGGCAGCCTGATGGAGGACCTATGGCTTTCAGCGGGAGTCTAAACACTGCATCGCCGAGTGTGAAGCTATTCAATGGTGGAAACTTGATTCGTCGTAGAAGCTGCGTCAAGCGATCGCAGCGTCTTTGCCATCTATTCAGTTCACTCGTAGTCAAAATGCATCGTTGAACAAGGTTCAAAGGGAACATTGGCAAGGGAGGAAAGCATTGGCCAAGAACACGAGTTTCATCCGGAAAATACAAAAATCACATGTGGGTTAACGTTGTTAAGAGCTGTTTTGCACAAAAAACACGTACTTCTTTGTGCCATGAACGGGATGAAACACCGATACTATAATTTGTGTCGATCTTCTTCCAAAGAAACGGGTGACTGTCACGAGTCGTGACCAGCGAGTGCGCAATTACTTTCATGGGCGGTTTCTGGAGGCCAAAAGACCTTGATCCTGGCAGATTTGCGCGGCTCTGTTCCAAATAAGATTATGGTGGAGGAGCGTAAAAGTGGCTGTTCTATTGGAGGTGAAGCTTAATCGATGTCCATGTATGTATCAACGGGCAAAATATTCGGATGGGGACTTTTCTGGTGAAACAAGAGGGTTGGTGTGGCTGTACCCGACTGCCACTGTATTTGCCTCTGTTGGACAGCCCTGATCAACAAACTTAACCATCCCCCCCAAAATGAGTGGATGAAGCAAACAATTGCAGCTCTACACATGTGTCATCATCTGTCCCAACTTTGACTCACCACCCCAGTGTTTCTCTGTTGTTGTGTTTTTTCCCGGAAAGTTTCAAAGAATGCCTGTCGAAAACAGGAACCTCATTCCACCAGCCGACATCCACTAAGGAATCATAGTTGGTGTCACATCGTTGGGTTGACGAACGCGATCAGTTGACACTTTTTGCCAGCCGCACCTCACACATCAATCCCAAACAGGGGCTTTCTGCTTAACAAGCCCACAACGAATCAAGCCCGTGTCAAAGAATCTGTCTAACCGGCTTGCTCTTCCTCAAAACGATCTTTGGGGTGTGCTCCCCTTCTCCATACAGAAGAAAGACCCTTCCAATATCAGCTGCTCCGAGCTGGGCGGCTCGCGACCGCCGAGCCCCTCGCGCCGCCGAGCCGCTCGTCGTCGGCTCCGTGGAAGGACGACGTCGTGGCAGAGTCGTCGTGGAGGGGCCAGCGATGGGAGCCCACGGCATATTCCACCTGGGTGAGGGACCGACAACCAACGACCAGAGTAGGTCGCGTTCGGACCTAGGCAGCATATTCCGAGCTGTCGTTTCTTAAAGCGCCTACTGAGTAGGCCTACTGGCGATGCACCACCATTCTGTAACCATATATAAAGAGACAAAGGTCATACATGTTTTGTCATGTTCATTTTAGTTGCTGATCAACAAGCCTCTATACTAGGATGTGGGTGAGATTTGCTGGATCACGAGATTTGGTTGCCTACACTCTTCCACAAATTGCAATCAAAAGGATCCACAACACAAAGTATATAAGTACAAGCAATTTACAAGCAGTCCAAACAAGTTATATAATCCAAAGAAAATGATACTGATACTTCAATGCACGATAAAATACACATCCTGCGCAAATATGACTGACGTTGCATGATTCTTGTTTGCCCATCAGGTCCCAAATTGTCCCTAAACCTTGGCAACTTCAACCATCTGGCGTGATCAGACTCATCCCTAATGACTCGACAAAGTTTGCAGGGTGACATTCAGTTACTCATACTGATCGGGAAACCACAAATCCAACCAACCGCTCAATGTCATGTCACAGGTGTCACGTCCTGTCAATGTCAGCTGTGTCGATTGAACAAAAAAATGGACCTCCGGACATCCCCTTCCCTTTTCGAGTTCCTTCAGGTGGACTTCCGCAACACCGTTGAGGATCCGCGCGCGATTCACTCGCTCGCGCTGCAACTCGTTCATGAGTGTTTGTAAACTAATTGAGGCTCAGCCTCAAGCTATGGTCTTCGTAATTAGTGCAGTTGGGGCATCAAGTATCCAAGGGTATATATAGTTGTTTTGTTGATAAAACCTTTCCACCAGAAGCACATCTCTCAACAAAAAAACAACATGCCAAACTCTGATGCAAAGGAACAAAAAGGCAATTTGCTACACTTTGTGTTTGGAGGCTGGAAGGGCTAGACTTACAAAGCCTCAAACATTATGTAACGATATTCTGTAGCTAGCGGCACAGCTGCTGAACACCCACAAATGTTAGCAAATTGCTAGCTGAAAGTCACAGCAGTTGAACAACCACAAACTGATTCCTTCAGATATCTTCAGATTAATCGACCATCATTACGTAGGCTGGCTTACCTTCCTTCTCAAATGGACCTGTTCCCATGCCACACCCGGCGCATGTCGGAACGTGCTGCACTCCAGTCACCACTCCAGTCTCTTCATCTGCATCGTCCAGCGCGATCCACACCGTCACCGAGTTGTTCTCCAGGGGACGGAAGTTCTGGGAGATATACCTGACGAAGCCCAAGCCCAGCGCCAGTGCGCCGCGCCAGGCGCGGTCAGACCCACAAAAACCACGCGGTGCCACGCGCAACGTGACGTGGGACGTTTTGCGCCTTGTTTTGGACGAAAAACATATGGAGAACATTGTCTAATTGAGCAAATTCTCTGGCAACTCTTGGTCTTAAAGTGACCCTTGTGGGTTGGAAGGTGGAACAAAACAAACATCCAAGTCCGTGTACCTAAAATGTCTGACAAACCAGCGCAGAAATTAGGGAATCAATGCCTGATAAACCTGCCAACTACCTGCTGCGTCTTCTGAACATGCCCTACTCCAATCAAACAACAAACAAAATCTAACTCCAAATGCAAACAAGCTGACGCGCTGTCTTGGTGATAGCCCACACCACTCGCACCTGCGCAACTCCAATGACAGCTTTGAGTGGCGAGGGCGACAATCCATTTCTCCACTTCCCCATGTTCCTTTGGCCCTGTCTCAACATCATAGATCTTGTATGGTCTTGCATAGTCATATGACTCCCAAAATGAAGATTCTCATCACCAGCCATGCTGTTGGATGAAGCTGTTGGATGCATCGAAAATCTGTCCAAACCAAAGGCCGAAGCTTCATGCCAAGCTTTGAGAGTCACACGCCAAAAGACCGGCCACTATACTGGAGCACGGTGTGTGAATACTCATCTGCATCTTCTGTTCCTCCCACCTCCCTTCCCGACACCGCCTGGTGGCTTCCACAGCACGTCATCCTGCGCCAAGCGAGTTCCCTCCCAGCCCATGAGGCTCGCAGCCACTTGGGCCACGTCCGGTGACAAGGCCACCGCGGCCACCAAGGGCGAAGACTTCCTCGGTGTGTTCGGTGCGTGTGGAAGCGAACGAGGGCGTCGTTCGGAGGGCGTGTTCGGTGGTTCGAACCAGTTCTCAACAGGGAAGCAGTTGGAGTGTTAAGAACTGGTAGGCCTGAAGAATTCTGAAGAAGGTGTTGAGCCGGTAGACCTGAAGCAACAAATGATCTAAGGGTGACATGTCATGGCTGATAATGCTGATAATACCGCTGCAGTCATGGAAAATACATGCCAAGTCTCCACGCATTGACAATCTCCCGAAACTTGTCTGGCTTTGAGATTCCTTCCCGCCAATGCCATTCATCCGGATAAATGCCTTGCGACGTGCGCTCGGACGCGCATGGACGCACATGGACGCGAACGGAGGCACGCAGAGTGTCACTGCACCTCCAAATCTTCGGAACAAGATCTTCAGGTATAGCGCGAGGATTGAGAGTAGATGGTACAGACTCCAATGTCGGTGGTTTATATGGACCCCCATGGGTCTGTGCCTTCTATCACCACAGCACACCGAAGATTTACGAGGTCGTTTTGTTTGACCAGCCCAAACGCTCCGTTCACAGGCGACTGGTGCCTCAAAACCTATAGGGATCTGAGGGTCCGGACCCTGCAGAGGATTCGGTCCCGGTCCCTACTACTTGGGAGGGGAGGTCCATGAGCGTCTGGGAGTATCACAAAGAGCAGAGAAGCTGACACTCCCGCCGGACTCCGTCGACCACGTCGACGACTTTGCGAGTCCGGGAGGGCAGTTCCGGAAGTTGCAGAGGAGAGGAACACCCCCCAGGGTCTGTCAGCTGTCTGTTTTAATTAGCTAGCGAGTATTCATTCCTTGCTACTGTATATTTCTTTCTTAAAGGAAGGACATATGACTTCATCTAACATGCTAATCCAAGGTCGACTCTGACCAAGGAGGAAGCAGGAGCCTTACAGCACTTACTTACAGGTCTGGAGGGTCACCTGCTAGAGCCGCCTTGCTGTGTAGTAAGACAAATGCACTAACGCCAAACGAGGGGTTCCAGGAAGAGCTTTCAAATCACCGAGCCAGGCCTGTGGGGAACTTTCCTTGAAAAAAGCTCCTCATAATGCTCGCGAAGCTCTTTGGCTTGCTCCACACTGATGAGTTTCTCCTCAGAAGCTGGGGTCAAACAAAAGGCAGGAGAGAAAGAAAGAGAGAGAGAGAGAGTTTTCCAAACATAGTCACATAGTTCAAACGGCCAACCTTCGCTTGCTACAACTGACGAAAGCTTCATTTGGAGAACCAGTGGAGCTGGAATAAGACAAAATATGCTCAAGAAGTGCTAGGCCTACCAAACTGAAGAATGTGATGGTAACGGGAAATATATAATACAAATTACTGATGACTCATAACAACCAGAGTATAAGTCCCCATCAACACCATGAGGTCGTATGAGGTCTTTTCAAGCCAAAGGGCCAACGCTGTATCCGTGACACGAGGTGCGAAGCTGCTCTACTGCGTTACACAGGAGTCCCCTTGGATTGGTCTCGTTTCAGTCGCATGCGTGGATGTTCTATGGAACTCACTGCCCAAGCCATCCATGGAACAGTGATTTACGACCCTTTAACAGAAGGTAACTCGTCCGGTCCCATGGATGCTCTGGGATGTACTACAAGTGCTATGGTCTGGCATACCGATCCGAGATGATCCGAGGACACCGAGGACACCGAGGACGCTCGCCGAGGTCTCGACCGAGCGTCCACTTTCAGAAAGCCGTCCCGCTGAAAGCTCTCACGCTCCGCAGGGCTCACAGACGCCATGAGGCCGCACGGAATTTCCAGCTTCAGCTCTGCGTTGAGGTGTGTTCAATCCAAGGGGACAGGTGGTTCAAAAAAGCGGCAAATGTGAGTGATGCAGTTGAACTGCACAGGTCTTCTCGCGACAATACAGGACGACACATTACAATGCAACGTCACTTGGCCTCTGCCTGAGGCGCCTGTGACGATGCCAAGGGTGTGAAGGCTCCAACAAGGGCAAGTCGTCCAGCTACGGCTTGTACAGGTCAAGTGACATGATGTAAATAGGCCCGTGGTCGGCAACTATGCAGAGCTTGCTGCTTTTCCCAGATGTTCGATACATTCTTACAAATGGATGTCCTCAAGTTGTGAAGTCATCTCTTTCCACTATGTAGGATGATACATATTTCCACCTAGAAGAATGAATGCTCTGAGACAGGACAAATTGCCACTACTATAAGAACGAGGGCACTGGAACTGGAACATGTTGCCACCTTTTTGCATGAGAATTGTGGCCTATAGACAAGATTGCGTGGGCTGTCGGCTGTCTATTCTGCTTTGTGTCTCTGCCAGCGCAAGGCTACCGGCCCTAGTTCTTCTCATCCAACGTCAAGAAGGCTGCAACTCTTCCTGATCACTGTCGGCGCCCGCACGAGGGTCGTGTCCCCACACTCAAGACCAGTTTGGATGAGGTCGTTGGCCAAACCATATTGTTGACAGTTGATGAATAAAGCTCCAGCATAGGTTTGACCAACACGCACCAACATTATATTAAATATGGATCAACATTGACTAACATCTGGAGATGATGGACCATCCAGGCAGTAGGCGCCCTGTCTTAGTCAACATGACTGTTCTAAGAGCCCCCAAATGTGCTACGCCAAAGCAGCCGAACCCACCGGATTTCAAGGGACTTGGATGTCAGAAGGGGAGGAATCCATGGTCGTCCTCTGCGGTAATTGGCATCCCAGGTCCAGGTTCCTGATGGTTCCTGTAGTACCCCTAGGGTTTCAACATGTTAGAACCTGGCACCCAGCAGGCAGACCCACACGACCGACCTTTTCGTGTGCGACACAAGCGCTTTTGGGGCTTTGAGGGACACACACTTTTTCCTCGGGCCCTCGCCTTCTTTGGGCGGCTCTGGAGGAAGGCGGCGCGACGTCGCGTCGGAAGGCGAAAGGGGAAGAGGTGAAATGGCGAAATCGGCGGTGGGTGGAAGTGTCATGCTTGGGAAGTGTCCTGCGGTGAAGTGTACCCGTTTTTTTTGGCAAGTTGACTGTAAAGGTCTGTGGTTGGCAAATTATTAATGTGGTGCCTGTGGAATGCCGGAATGCGATGATGACATGATGTCTTCGATTCTGTTCACGTGGCAAAGTACAGCTGCTACTCCACCTCTGCGCCCTCATTTTCTTGGCGTCGCCGTTCGAAGAGCTCAGATCGGCCGCCTGGCATGTCTCAAAGATCTTGGAAGTTCCAAATCTACAAATATTTCAATGTATGGGCTGACCATAGGCATCATTAGCACATGTGAGCACAAACCATGGCATCTCAAAATATTTGATCACCCTTGCCAACGCATCATGCCAAATGTTCCGAACCCTTGACTTTCCAGGTGGCAGTGCAGCGCAATGAACCGTCGCACTAGATGTGACTGCATGTGTAAACATCGTGAAACATCTTGACTGCGTGAAGTTCCCCGCAGGGTTAAGTAGAATGGGCTGTGATCCAAGCTGGGGGGCCTGTGGGTCTTCTGGAATTGGAGAATCGTGCAGACATGTGGAGACTCAAATCACAAGTCAAGATGTTCCACTTTCGTCACACACCCACACACCCGACACGCAGCAAACCTGATGCAAGGGATGCCGCACCCAAACACGATGACCAACCACACACTCGAACTAGTGATGGAACGTTGTGGTCAAGTTCAGGCCGAAGCTTTTGCACAGTTCTTGCAATTAACACCGTGACCATCGAGTGAGGCCTGATTACCTTCACCAGAGATATACGTAATGAGCATTCCTAAATATTCCCAAGATCCTTCGCCTTGTATCAGTCGTCCTGGAACAACCACGCAGCAACCTGAGTTCTGCTTGCAGCAATTCCCTTGCTTGGTCTCAGCTAATTAGGTCTAGGATCCTTTTCATGAACCGCAGGAGTGAAGCATGGACGAGGTGGATTTGGCAGATCGTTTTTAAAGATCCTGGATAGTTTGAACGCGGCCGCACTGCTCCCTAAACAGCTGTCTTCCTATCCTAGTCGAAACCCGGCGTTCTGGTCCCCAACAGGGAGCTTCCGAAAGGTCTGTTGAACGATCAATGCTAGCTGAACCTCCTCGTCCACAAGCTGCCGGTGCCAGAAATGTCCATGATGAGCTGGAAACAACTGCAATCTTTCCATGCTAAGACGAGGTGGAGCTGACTATTACTGAAACTGGTGCGCCAACCAAACCAGCTTACTTTCCAAAGTGTTTTCAAACGATTTGATAAGAGCAGCCTCTAGATGGCCTTGTGTGACTACCTGTTCGATTGAACTGAAATTTCCATGGTACTCTCAAGAACAATTCACAACAAATACCAACATGTATACAAATCATGGGGACTTCAACACGAGATCTGCAACTCGCCATCTTTTGAAATCGCATGCGATTCAAAGGTCAAGCAAAGTGATGATGAAATTGATGTGCTCACGGGCCCCATCTTCAGCTTCAATCGCTGCAAGGATCTGCTCCTTGTCTTTGGGGTCACTCGCATAAGCACTCAGCACATCGTGCTTTACATTTGCAAAGACATTTGGGCCCGTAATTGACAGTTTTGAACTGGTCAGAAAGCCCATGATATAGGCTATGTAGAGCTCCCAACAGCCTTGAGAATGCAAAGGCGTTTCAAACACGCCGCTTGTCAAGTGCAGTCGACGTTCTCCACAATATTCTTATTGCGGCTAAGGTGCACCAAATCCGAGTGTAAATATCAGTGGTCCGGTTTCGAACTACCTGTCCATCTTTGCGGTTGAAACAGCCAGGGCGGTGATTTCATCTGAGGCATACAGCACATTTGAAGTAATCTTTCAAATCGGTCGATCTCTAACTTTTAATTCACCACAACCCCCTCCATCTCTCGCACTCGCTCTGAAGCCCGCCAGAAAGCGCTCCGCACGTAGCAACGCACGGGTGAAGGGTGCATGGCGTGGATCGTCCCCCAGCTGCTCTGACACCAGCGTCTTGTCCGTGGTTTGAAACACCGCAAAGGCGCCTCTGTCGAGGACGGTGGGCGTCTGGACATGAAAAGACCATCGATCAAAAAACAGCGCAACAACGGTGACTTCGGAAAGCAACCAGGGTGTGCAGCCTGGCAGCTTGGAAGAAAAGTACTGAAGGCCCCGTCAAAAAGCAACGTTAAAACCTTCAGCCAAGGTACAAATCCACAGATTTGGGGTTGTGGATGGCATCCTTGATGGATTCCACAAATTCATGGAAGTTTTCTTGCCAGGCATGTGTCACGAAGATCGTGGCATGAAGACCGGGCTCTTTGTTCACAGTCAAAGCATAGGGCACGCCGTGTTTGGCACAAGCAGGCTGGATGATGGCTGTGTTGATGTCATGGAGGGTCACGTTGTCCTCGTACTTCTCACCCCAGAGCATTCGGGCTTCGGTTTCAACGTCCATCAATTGCTGCAACGTGATGGCCCGCCGTTCCACTGGGCGACTTTCCGTTCCACTCCCAAACTCGCTGTGTTGACGCAGGAAAGCGCGTGTGGGCGAAGGGTCATCCTCCTGTCGTGTGGTTTTTGGGTCGGAAAGAAGCCACCCGAAGAAGCCGTGGTTTTGGGCCCTCCATGGCTGGGGTCGGACCAATCCGACTGACCATCCCTGAGAGTCCTCCGACTCATTGTACCCCCAGACTTATGGTGTTGGTGGATAGATTGACTACCAGCGGGGGGTGTAGTCTATGAGTTAACGGAAATTCTGAGCATCCGACTCACCGTGGCCGATTGACCGTTCGGCCGCTCCTCCGAATAAAGAGAGCGCCGCCTCAGGAGCTTGTTGTAGCCCGCAGGCACATAAAAGGCTCCGTGCCTCAGGCTTCTGCGATTGAAGCTGTGCACCCGAAATGTGTTTTTAAAGAGACACCTAATTAGGACAAAGTGGAAGCTTTGTGGGATACAAAACACTCCTACTGGCAAGTTGCAGTGTGCTCCACAAGGATGCCTTGGGCTCGCCTATGACTGCCAGCTTGGCCAAATCTTCTCGATGTCCATAGGCCTCCAAGCGCACCAATGGACCCAGTTTCTGGAGAGCGGCAAGGGCAGCATCTGCGGTTGCAACGCTGTTGCAAACAATGTTTCCTTGCCCAAAGTTGGAGAAAGACTTGACGAATGAGCGTAGTAACTCCAACTAGTCGCAAACTACTCCAAAAGACACCGAAATCAATTCCCCACCAGACCCAAGAAGACCCCTAAATGACAACAGTACATCAACCACTGCATCCTTAGTCACTTCTATTGTGCCTGTTAGTTGCTGCCAAGCTGCCCAAGATGCTCTTTTCATTCTTGGAGAAAGCTGCACGTCTGAAAGGCACCTGATTTTCAGCCATTGGAACAGAAGCAGGGACATGTTGGTAGCTCTAAAGTGGTCTGTACAACTGAAATCCGAAGGTGAAGGTGAACATGTTGATGATTGGAAACATAATGAAACATAGTTTCGCACAAAGTCCAATTGCTGCTTGCGTGCCTCAGACAATAAAGACAGGCTCGGTGTATTACCGCATGACCACATCAAGACCAACGTGATGGAGTTGTCCTTGCAATCGAGTAGCAAAGGCTTTCACGAGTTGTTTCTACACAGGCTGCGCCTTGTTTTATGCTTAAGTCCATCAAACACATGTTTCTCAGTTTCAGTTGCATCTCCTGGGCATCCTTCTCCGTTAAGTTAAATTGACTCAGCTCATAGACAGCTTCCTGGATCTCCCAACACCTCAGGCCAACTCATGTCTAGGCACTCAAGACTCTTTCGACCAATTTGTTTTATA